GGCGAATTGACCAATAAGAGGCGTTGTCCCCACCTGTTACCGATAGATCACGCGCTAACTGTTATTATTTACATCTCTAGGCAGCAGCGGTGGCCGCAGTAGTAGACTCTTCGGTCTCCTGATCAGTCGCCGTGTGCTGTGCGGGTTCGAGTCCCGTCCCAGGAGAAATTTTTCTCTTGGCTATGGATGTTGTGATTGTCCGTAGGTGGTAGACGGTCTCTGACTGTCGAACGTGGAGGTACCACCCGGCGGATCTCGTAGGCGGAGCCAGAATGTGTGCATGTTGCATGTATACGTGTTCCCTGAGTCCGTGTGGCGTCCCTCTCTCCCCTGTATCCCCCTATAGCCCCATGGTGCCCAATGGGTGTTTAGGCCTTAGGCCTTGGTGGTAGTTGGAGTATAAAAAAAAATCTCATCTTGAATTTGGATTCAGTTTAGGTATATTCGCATTATCGAAAATTTTGTATCCAATTCAATTGCATAGTTTACAATATTTCCAAAAGCATCACAAATTATATATTAACACAAAATAGCCATCCGAAGACATTTTAGTTACATTTGAAATATAAGATCTACATGGTCGACGCCATTATATTAAACCAACCAAAAGCGGGAAAAACTATACTTGCTTATTAAAACTAGTCACAGACTTTGGCGGTTTAAAAAAATATACAAAATATTTATCATCTGTACACAAATGTATTTTATAAAATATGTAATGTGTATAAATCTTGTTTGATGTAAGCCATTCATGGCAGGTTACTTTATATTCTATGGGCAATCACAATAATGGTTAATGAGTTGTAAGCAATGTTGATGTAAGGAGGATCGGATTCAAAATATGTATTACCGATAGACTCGGAGAGGAGATGGATTCATCTCTGCTCAGGAGGCTCGACAAACGTCTTTTACCCAACGTTCGAAGAGGACGCAGACGAGTACATAGCCGTCGGCCTCTTTCCCTGTTCTTATTTTCTACCAATTTTGATGACATATTCCTCGAGTTTTGAATTTCGCTGGTAGCTTCCCACTACATAGTTTTGTCTCGTTTCATTAGTTGAGTTCATGGGGTATGCATTTTTTCAGCAGCCCCGAATGCTCTCCTTTCAGGTTCCTGCAGACAACTTCTAGGGTGACGTTTATGGTCTTTTCATGTCAGTTGCATAGCCTGTCTCCAGCTGGATCCGACACCATGGGCGTCTCCATACTGAGTGCCGTAATGGTATCTCTCGACCGGCACACACTCTCACTCTGCTCTGCTAATTGCCACCGGCAGCGGTATTACCTATCTTGTAAAGTAACATTTTGTCGTTTTTTTTTTGCATAACGTGCGTTTCTTGTGACAACGTAGGTTTTTCTACAAAATGTTAAATTAGCACTAGCTGATGGACTCTTGTGAACTCGTTTTGTAGTTGTACGTGTTGCCTAAACGTCATGATGCTTCAGTTATCAATATTTGGATCTGATGTGATGTAACATCTGCTTCAGAGTTGCCACTATTGGAGGTCTAAGCTGTAAATTGTATACTATAGCTGGAAGGAAATGGCAGTGCATAGTGAGGATTTGTGTGCTAATAATATATGATGATAATTCCATTTGTTTCTTGTTTCAAATACACTTACGTATATATATATATATATATCCACTTTTTATTGTTCATTCTGGAAATTAAAATGCAAATTGACTGAATTTCAAAAATGAAGAGATAAGAAATGAAAATCCCCGGTTGGTGAAATAACAGGCGAGAAAGTATGCTAGACAGTAATATTTATGTATGTGAATGCAATTACATTTCACATTATTTTTTATTTTCAATCATTTAAATTTTATAGAAATTTATTTTGCGTTGTCAATAGCGCCTAGATGTGCGAAAATGATATGCGATGCGTCATTCCTAATTTTTCTGTGATGAGACTTAATTGCACACCACGATTTCCCGTAATGCTGCTCAAAGTTTTTGAAAACACAAGAAAGTTGGAAAAATCGTAATTTATAGCTTGGAACATAACCTGTCTTCAGAAAGGACAAGATATAAATAACCCGTCAGGCACAGCTAATAGATATACTTGGATATACTTCATTGGCAGCATATTCAGTATAGTCCAGTTAAATAGCCGCAAAAGTGATAACATAGCCACCAAGTTATGTCCGCAGTTCATGAGCCGCGTCTATGCTAACAGACCCCAACGCAAATATTTAAAGAATAGATAATGGCCGATTGTGATGAGCATTTGACGATGTCTTCTCTGCACACTCGCTGTGGAAACCAATAATAATGCTCATTGGTCTAGTCCTAGTATCGATGCTCGCTTAACGACATCGATAGAACTGTGCGAGGTAAAGGGAACCTACCCGGCGTTCCCAGAGACTGAAATACACGAGGAGACGTTGTAGCACACCGCAGGTCACGCACAACACATGGCCTACCGAGACGCTGATGAGTCGGGCCACGCGCAGGTTAGGGTTTAATGGGAACTAGGTGGTCTCCTCAAGACAACCTGGAGTCCCACACACGCCGTATCTCGGGCTATGGTATGGTGCATAAACGCATTCCCCCCTCACAAAAAAAACACCTTTTTTGTGCAGCTCAGCGATTTTTTGCGTTTCTAATTATTGATAATGGAAGGACTATTAAGTATGTGTGTGTATACTTAAAAGTTGAGTTGATTGAGCAGAAACAATAATAAAAAATTGTTATCCTATCAAAATCGGAAATACACAAAATTGATGCATCTTCCGATAAATGGTTTGTCCATAATTTCTTGTCTCCAATGAAATATACGGAAAAATATTCAACTTCAATTCTAAAATGTACACACACTTATCTCACTTATCCAGTCAATCGACAAGCAACTGAAGACAAATTACTCCATTACTCCATTTACTTAAACGCATAAACTTAGTTCCATTCGGAAAAGTCGGTGAACGCCAAACTGACAAGCGAACTCAGGGTTCAAAATTCAACTGGACTCTACCACTGTAGTAAGAGATCGCCTGCGTCGTCAACGGCAGGGCTGCCAGGCGTGACGCCACTTAATTTGTAATCAATTTTTGCCGATATAGTAATAAATTGTCTTTATTTAGCGGGCGAAGTTTAGCATAATGCTGCTCTGCTACTTAACCGCCCCCCCCAAAACAAAAGAAAAACTGACAAACAATACAAAAAATATAAATACATTTGACAGGCTACAAGTTTAAAAATGTAGGTGTATAAAAAATATGATGACTATAACATATATAAGTGAAGGCTATTCAATATTTCATGAGTTGAAAGTATAAAACTGTATAACTATACAAACAAAGGAATGCTATATGGGAAATATTTTTGTGTGAGGTGACATAAAGTCTATCAACTGATTTATATACTTCTATGTATTCAAAATAAATTTAAATGATAGCAATTTTGGGGATCGAGGTACAATATTGTAAAAAATAATTGTATAGATTAATGAAAGTTCAGATTACACGAGTACCATCCTCACCTCCCCCTCCCTTTTCAAGGAATTGTTTATTATCATATATTATTATTATGCCTAATCTGCCTCACCTCCACTCTTCAGTTAACAGGCAGGCTACTCCCCCCACCCCCCTCCCACAAATTCATCCCAATCTCTAACCTGGCGTTTTACGAGTTAGTTATTTCAAAGAGTGGCGATTTCTGGCAATTTTCTCAGCAAAACTTTGCGACCAACGTAACTGAAAACCTGGCAACCCTGGTGGACGGTGCGATGGCAGCTGTAGCGTGAAAATTACGCATTTTAGCAAAACATTTGCAAATACCTTTTTTGATGGCCCAAAAATTAGAAAAATTTCCGGTTGGTTAGTTGGTTTCCGGAAAGCCAAATTCATACAACAATATTCACAATCCTTTATAACACCATTACGCCAGCGGAAATAACGTTGTGGCTATGTTATCACTTTTGCCTCAGTTTCGGCTATTTAACTGGACTAAGTAATAATTTTCTCACATAGCAAATATCACTGATTTAATACACATGCAGACCGATTCACTTAATTATCCAGATGGGATCTTGCTACTCAACCAACTTTCTTTCTTTCACATCCGAGATAAGCACTACAAACTACTCGACTTCCTAAGAGATATACTTACTTTCTGCAATCAACAATGCGTGTCGTTGGGTCATTCCTCCATAGATGGATGCTCACACCGAGCAAACGTGGGATGAACTATATGCACCCTAAAATCTACCTAGTCTGCAAAATGACATTTTGTCGGTTTTTCGTTTTTGACGTTTCAGGCTTTTTACATAATACCCGTGCTGGGTACTATTCTAAATTTAAATCAAATTACTTCTCGCTGACAACTAATTGGCAAAACAAGTTGAGCTGTACCATCCGAGGATGAGAAAAAGCCGGTATAGGATGAAGAAGTCATCACCTGTAGATAACATCAAATGAAACTGACAGATGCCATTAGTGTTCGGCGCAATCATCAGATGCCACTCAAAGCAGGGTAGAAAATCTGGTATATTAATTATACTCCCTTGCCTTGTACCGAAAAAAATCACCTTTTTGATTGAAAGGTTCACAGTACATATGTCGATACATGCAGTTTTATTGGCCAGACCGCCAAACAAGCATGGGGAATTAACACTTTCGTTGAATCGGTCAGTGCAAAAATAGTCCGATAATTTGAATTTTTCAGGAGACATCAGACAGTAAAAACCTTGGATTAGTATGATTAAGTTGCATACCACTAACCATATTTTCTTGCAAACACAAGTCCATAACAATTTTAGGGCTTTTTCCATTATTATTATTATTAATAAACTGTCAATCAAATTTCAATCTTTTAGAGCTACATTCAGCCCAAAAGGTATGCTAAAACGGGTTTATTTGTCAGTGTCAGTTCTTACTGCATCCTGAAAAATTCAAATAAGTGACTTCGAGGGTTTTGCAATAAACGATTCATTTCCGGTAGTTAAAGGTTCCGGCAAGGTAGCATTGGTTCCAGGAATAAACTGAATCGTTGTCGAGCATTTCATTTGTTAAAACATCCATTTATTTCAAATATTATATTGGTAACAGGGATAAAAAATAAAATGTATAGGTAGTCATAACATAGATTTGTAATATAAAATATGGAAACATAATATAAGTACACCTCCATTTGTTCAGATATATCTTTTTCAACAAGTTGGATGGAATAATTTGAGGCCAAAAAATGCAGAATTACCCAATTCTCTTTTTCCCTTGTTTGCAAACATACATACATATATGTTTATATTGCACTTAAAATGTTTTTCTTTTTTTTATTTCCGACATATGTTGAATATCATGCACACAGCCATATATATTATGGAAGCTGTTACCTTTCTCTTGAATTTTTAAATACTTATCCATGATTTTACAGTAGAGGATATAGAATAAATAAATTGTTATATATTTCATATATTTTCGAACATTAAACAGTTCTCAATTTTTATCGAAAAAAGACATCACACATTTCATCTATTACCACAATGGATATTCTGGTAATAGATGGCACTCTTATCTCAATAGATCTTATACTATGAACAGATGATAGTTGCTTAACTTTCATTTGCTGTCCTAACTGAGACCAAGCATAGACCTGAGAAGTTGCCAAATAGCATGAAACAGCAGTGCATGGTTGGCCGTCTGTGGTCGGACAAACGAAAGCTATATTACTAGTTTGTTTTTTAAATATAATAGAAATACTACCATTACTACAAAATTTACCATGTCAAAATGTTAGTTGTATTGCATAAAAACTAAGGCACTGAGTCATTAAACTAGTCAGACATATTTTTTATGAAATGTTTCATAATATAGACTAGCATATTCAAAATAAATAAGTCTTAGGAATAAATGATTTGGGCTGATACTACAATATTCAGTTTGAAGACATCGACGATGTCATTTGACCTACAAGATTGCCTGCTTTAAGGGCAATCGAGCAATATTCGAGATTCTATTCAAAATATTCCTCATAAAATCCACTGAAAAATGATAGAAAAGATAATCATGTGGGCTCAGTTTTGTACAGCCGTCAGAGGTGGAGGTTTAGACGATAATAGATAGTTTGCTCGGCTATATTTGTCACACTTACAAAGAAGTATGTATGAATGTTATCCATAGCTCCCAACTTTCTGTAAAATTTCATATTTCATTCCGTTCTAATGATATCAACGAACCAGTCAGTTATATATTGACCATCCTGTATTCCTATTGATTTAAATCATTTCTCACGTGCCATTTGAATATGTAATATTTAAGTACATATGTTAATTCGTCTATGTGCAGTTCCCTCAACCCTTTCGGAGTCTTCAAATTGAATTCATAGTACAAGCCTCTACAACCATACACTTAAAATACTAATCAGACCATTTCAGTGAACATCCGCACAATTAACGTTTCTTAGAATCTTTCATTCTATCACGTAACAACTTCATAATCTCGATTCTGACCTCCTTACTCTTATCTTTACCTATGTTATTCAATACAGACTCAACAACATCACCAAACACATGAGGGTACACGTCACATTCCTCTAAAATATTCTCTATGAAGTAATTGTAATACTCGTCTATGTTTTCGTTAGGCTGATAAGTGTACGCGAAATCCATGGGCACCGAAACATCATTCAAGCTTCTGGTGAATTCGGATGGTGGTAGAGAGGCGGCTTCGTCCAGGTATTCTATGGAGTTTTCTAACAGGCGAGGTATGCGGCGATCTGGAAATTGTTGCATTAGGTTTGAAAAGTTGCATCCAGTAGATTGCTCTATATTTCCCACGGCCCGATCTAAAATCGCAAATTTCAAAGCGAAACTCGATCAGGTATGTTCACTTAAGTATGAAATACTAGCCGAGACTTCGTACGCTTAAAATTGATAAAATAAAATTTTTAAACTAATACATGCGATTAAAGCAAATTTTACATTGTAGAAATACCTCTCGTCTAGTATTTGTCTGGAAAATGTATATATGTCATCGTTTCCTCAGATTACACCCGTATCCGGATGTATGGACATGTGTATCTACTTTTGTGGTTGCATAGGTGCATTCATTTCGGACCTGATGAAGCCAACAAGCAGAAATACGTATTGCTCGGGCTACCTGTTCTATTTTCTGCTCGAATCCACTTTCCTTCTTTTTGCGGATTTTGCCCATTATTTTCCTATTTTTTGTTATACAGGGTGGCCTATCCATATGAGGACGGAATATTACTCATAAACAAATACATTTTGGAAAAATCTATTTATGGCATGTTATACATGATATTTGAGGGCACATTTCTAAAATATTGGCAATTATACAGGGTGCCCCAATTTTGACCTACATATCAAAGTTGTGATTTTTCAAATGGAATGCCTCAAATTTTATTGCATATTTGGATAAACCAATTCAAAAGAAGAAGATTGATATAACATACTATGGGGTTTTGATAATTAGCTACTGAGATGTAAGGTGTTTTGTCCAGAAAAACCGTCCACTTGGCAACACCTCAATCCGCCATTTTGAAATTTGGAGTACTGAATTTTGTATCAAAAAAACTTACACAACTCAGCCTTGTTAGTTTTTCGAATTTTCATTTTTCCTCATACCGGGTGGTGAAAAACGCGAATTGTACTTTTTCTCAAACATTTCAAATGCATCACTCTGTATATTTGTGCAAGTTTGGATTCAATTTTTATAAGCTTTTTTGTATACGGTTTGATTCAGATAAAATCACTAGATTTTGAGTTATTAAGCTTTTAATAGAACAACACACTAAAATAAAGGAAAAAAATCACAACATCCATGGAAACAAAAGACAAACAGTGAGCTAGCTCCATATTGCCACTAAGAGTACAGATTTGACGTAAAAACTAATAACAATCAGAATAGTATAAATCAACTTCAAGCGTAATAGAGAAAAACAACTATAACAACATAAACAATCAACTATCACTACTCAAGATATAATCTACACAAACTGCTCGAAAATATCTACACCATGTTGAATAGATAGCTGTAGTCTTTGGATAAATGACCGTTGCACATCCCTCAGCATGTGTTCCCTTATGTTCAGAAAAACATCCTTAATCCTATCCTTCATATTTTCCGGGGTAGAAGGTGAATCTCTATAAACCTCTTGCTAAAAGGGGCTCCTTAGAAATAAATCCATCGGTGTCATATCTGGTGATCTAGGAGGCCCATCACGACCGATCCAACGATTATTACTCCAGGTGTCCAAATAGTTACGCACACGATTATGATAATGTGCAGGTGCGCCGTCATGCTGGAAGTTGGAAGTACATATGCATCCGAGATTGCAGGTTGACATCCTCCAAAAGCAAAGGCATACGCTCGATCAAAAAATTCAAGTATTCTGAACCTGGTAATCTGTTGTCTAAAAAGAAGGGCCCGAGATAACTTCGGTCGCATAATAGTGCATGTTATGCCTGTTGACAACACGTATGCTGTTAAAAGTTGGATCATCGCTAAAAATAACCTTATCCAGGAAAGTAGTGTCTTCACTAACTTTATTTAGCATTATTCTACTAAACTCGATTCGAGCTGCGAAATCCTGAGGATGAAGGCTTTGATGGTTAGGCATAGGTGATATGTATGGTAGCTATGCTTGTGAATAATCCTTTGGACAGAAATTCTGCATAATATATCAGTTTCTGCTCCAATTTGCCGTGCACTTAAATGGGGATTTTCCTGCAACTTTAATAGAACCTCCAACTGATTCGCCTCATTGGTGGCACTTGGATTATTTATACATTTTTTTACTATATTCCACTGCTCCACTTGATTCAACACGTTCTCGTAGTGTGGAAAATGTTTCCAGCCTTGGATATCGCATATTAGGGTACCTTTGCTTATAAATGCGAGATGCTAGGAATCTATTTATTTGTGCTTCGCCCAAAACGAACACCATATTTCACCATCTCTTCTTTAGAAATGACCCTTTATTGTCCATTATCAGCCTTGATAAAAAAAAGGCACTCAAGAACAATCACACCAACAACAATTCAACAACATAATATCGACGAACAGTAACAAAAGGAGAAAAATACTAAATGATCACTTGCTGAGTACCAAAATAAGAAACGATTTACATTCTAGATCGCTAATCAAAATCCGACTCTGTTATTATAAAAATTTACCTTGGTATGCACCCGCAGTCATCCTTTCCTCTTTTAAAGTAGCGCCGACGACCGTCAAGGGCCAGCCTACCCTCGTTTCCTTTTCACCCCCCCGTTACCTCAGCAGATGGTGCTCGTGCTTGTAGGAGACCCGTTAAGCCGTTTCATAAAAGACGTGCTAATAACCGAAAAAATAGCCGTAAAAACCCTATGTGTCTAGTATCAAAAAAAGCTTATAAAAAATTGAATCCAAACTTGCACAAACATACAGGGTGATGCATTTGACGTGTTTGAGAAAAACTACAATTTGCGTTTTTCACCACCCTGTATGAGCAAAAATTACAATTCGAAAAAGTAACAAATAAGATAAAAGCTGAGATGTACAGGTTTTTTTTATACAAATATCAGTATTCCAAATTTCAAAATGGCGGACTGAGGGGTTGCTAATCTCAGTAGCTAATTACCAAAACCCTATAGCACGTTATATCAAATTTCTTCTTTTGAATTGGTTTATCCAAATATGCAGAAAAATTTGAGGCATTCCATTTGAAAAATCTCAACTTTGAAATTGGGACAGCCTGTATAATGGCCAATATTTTAGAAATGTGCTCTCAAATGCCATGTTTAACATCCCTCAAATAGATTCTCCCAAAAATTTTTATTTTTGAGTAATGTTCTGTCATGGATGGGCCACCCTGTATACCTTATATATATATATATATATATATATATATATATATATATATATATATAGCTTCCGCCTTTTGTTGATTACTTCGACAATTATTATATAATAAAGTATAAAGAGTCCTCTTTGCTTGAATTTTGTCGAAGTACCCAACAACAGGCGGAAGCTTTATTCTTCACCTAACTGGTCTAAATGACAATGACCACGTCTCAAGTTATATATATATATATATATACAGGGTGACTTCGAAGTTGAGTCATTTATTTTAACAGTGAGTAGATCTGATCAAAATAAATGTTTTTTCCCTTTACCATTTTTCTGGTAAAATTAAAGTAACAAAGTTATAGCCCTTTGGAGGTTTGAGTACCGCCCTGTCTCAATAATAATATTATGTGCTCGTGTTTGGCAACAACGGATATAATCCGCCTTATCGGTTCATCGCATCGGAAACAAAAAAGCGAAAGAATTTGGAACGATGTTTTTACAATTATTTTATTCAGTTGTATACAGTCAGTGTCAGTCGGTAACGCGTGAGTGAATAGTGGTGTCTGTTGCGTGGCTCAAACGAAATCAAAAATGGCACATGTTTACGAAAATGCTGAACTTGTGGACATGATTCTTATTTACGCGGCATCACGGATTTATGCGGATCGGTTTCCCAATCGAGTGCAACCAACCCCTCGTGCCTTTGATAATGTAGTACAAAGGGCTCGTGAATCAGGTGACTTAAGACCTCACAGGGGAGGGCATGCCGGTGCTCCAAGACCGCACGATCAAATACAGGTCCGCACTGAAATACTTGTCGGGAGGATACTTTATAAAACAAGGTAACATTTTTTTTCTAATTTTTTTTTATTTTTACACACATATTTTGGTTTATCTTCCTTCTACAATTATTATCTGAAAATTAATGACTCAACTTCAAAGTCACCCTGTATATATATATATATATATATATATATATGTTACCGGTAATCTGTACAATTCAGGTATTCTATACAAATCCTATGCAATGTATGAATACCTGGGTTGCCCAGGCGATGGAATATTATGAATATATGTATATACATTGCGATTCTAGCTTGTGTTTCTGGCATATCTGGAGAAGGGTGGGCCTAGGAGAAGAATAACAATCTTATCCGACAGCCACGCTGCAATGAAGGCACTAAGTGCCTGTAAGATTACTTCGAATCTTGTATTTGCAATGCAATGGATTGCCTCGCAGCGAGGCATCCGGTATCTTTAATGTGGGTACTGGGGCACGCTGGGATAAGGAGCAATGAGACGGCGGAAGCTCTAGCGAAGACAGGATCATCCAGCAAGCTCGTTGGTCCTGAGCCAGCTTTAGGAGTGACCGCGCATAGAGCTAGGAGGAAAATGGAGACGTGGATTGCAAAGCAACACTCTCAGAAATGGAGAAGTATCTCCAGACATCTCCGCCAGGCACGGGAACTCAGTGGAGGACCCGGTGCTAAGGATGGACATTTGTTTATCTCTGGATAGAGCCAACCTAAGGTTGCTGGTGGGACTGTTGTCTGGCCATAACACGTTTTGTCTCGCTGTGAAGCTCTGAGCTACTATAGGCAGACTATACTGGGGTCCATTACTTTGGATCCTCGGGACGTCAAGGAGCTTGGACTCAAGGCGATTCTCAACTTCGCTAAAAGGGCGAGGCTTGTGATCTAAAGAATGTGCATAAGGGCCTGTTTAAGCGGCCTATGCACTGGCTCCTTATGGTGGCCGGAATGCCACTAATTTCACGGTTCATTCATTCATACATTACATACTTTACCTAGGTAATGAATACAATTCCTAGGGATTGTGTAGAGTACCTGCGGTTCCACCCGCAATTTGTAAAATAAATAGATCTTGGTCTAAATTTATCAATGTTAACTGGCATACCTATAAAATGACGGTCAAATGAAACAAGTTATATTATTTAAAATCAACATTATTAAAATTAACAATTAGAGTGTTTCTTAAAAGTAAACTTCATGAAAAGGGTACAAAAAAGCACCTTTCTGTTACTACGGTAAAATTAACGTGAAACTAAAAATTATTCTGGCTATAAGTAACATGATGTAATTTTCTTTGCTTACAAGTACGCAACACGTTTATTGCCTGCCTGCCAGTACGTACAACCCGTTCCTTGCTCTCGTCATTATATATAAGTGTAAGACTTGTCTTTGGGATATCGATAAATTATGCTAAGTGTACCCTTTTGACTTACAATACTCAAGCTTTCGACAGACTATGCTGCCATCATCAGGAGCTAAAAACGAATTAAAATAGTAGATTAGCAACCATGCTTTTAATTGATTAGAAATCTTTTTACTTACTCCACCAGTGAGAATGGTGCTGGTATTTGAGGTAAAGTTCAAAAGAGAACACATGGTAAGGTGATAAAAAACTGTTCTGCTAATACAATGCAGACGGATTGGGGCAAACATTAATCAAGTAAATTTTCTTCGAACTTCTCAAAATTACATCTTGCAATAAACTAAAAATGCTAATGTGGTCGAAAAGTTAGAATTTGTGTGTGAGTTGGTATAAATTTCATACAGGAAGCTGTAGGGGGAAACCAGTTTTTCGTTCATTCGTTCTATGTGGCCTTGCATTATCATCTATAAAAATGAAGTTGTTACCGAATTCATTTCGCAAAGGTTGAATAATGGGTTGTATGACATTTTCACAAAACATTATTGATCCGCCCTGATATGGGACAACTTCTCGGGCCTTTAGTCGCTGTTGATGTCCTGGTTCTCTCCAAACCGTTATCCTACGGTCATCACTCACCAGTCCAAACCTAACCTCATCTGTAAATACCACATTTCGCCAATGTGGTAAAAGCCGCTCCTGATGTTCTCTAGAACACTGGAGTCGAGCAGCAATTTGTCTACGAGTAAGACGTGGAACCCTTAATGGTCTTCTAGGGCGCAAATTTGCCATTCGCAATCTTCTTCTGATGGTAGAAGTGGAAATAACTCTTCGAAAGGTATGTTGAATATGCGATCTGATAGCTGTACTTGTTGAAAATCTATTCATTCGGGCAAATAGAGCAATGTAACGATACTCCCTATCATCTGTTACTCGAGGACGCCCACCGCGTGGCCGATTTTCAACTGAGCCAGTTTCTTGGAATATTTGAATTGCTCGAATAACCGAACTTCTTGGGATACCTAAATCCAGTGCTATTCGGTGATTTGAAAATCCAGCTTGGGAGAGGGCTACTATTCGTGTTCTATCAAAACCAGAAATTTCAGCTCGCGGCATTTTAAAAGTTACAGTATAAAATTTTATTTTAATACATACTTTTTGCTCAAACACTACCGTTAAACCGACTTATTTCTACAAAAATCGAAACACATTTTTATCTCAACGGTTTTTTTGCGTTTTTTGCTTGCTAAATATACAGGGTGTCCGCAAAGTTGGGGTTTTCCTTTACACGACGTTTAGATCTTGAAAGCATAAGCAATTTTTCTTAGTACCATATACACCAATGTCTTAAGAGAACCGAGATAGAGTGTGCAACCTTCAACCGACGGTTACGGTCACGCGTGTAGAGGTAATCGCGTAGACGAGAATCCCTCAACAAGCACTAGAGACGTGGCTAGAGAAGTGCAAGTATCCGTTTCACGTCCAACGTGTACAAGCCCTTCAACCTGACGATTTTCCAGCAAGAGTGCGGTTTTGTGAGTGGTTGTTGCATCAACATGACAATAATCCGGACTTTTTGAAGTGCATATTGGTGACAGACGAATCTACGTTCACGCGTAATGGGGTTAATAACTTTCGCAACACTCATGTTTGGTCAGTAGAAAATCCGCACGCTGTCCGTCGGGCACATTTTCAACAAACATTTTCTGTGAATGTTTGGGCTGGCATGGTGAACGGTATGCTCATTGGACCATTTATTCTCCCAAATCGATTGGACGGGATGCAATACCTAGACTTTTTACGCAACATTTTGCCTTCCTTGTTAGAAGATGTGCCATTAAGTGTAAGACAATCAATGTGGTTTCTGCGTCTGCTCGGTAGCGCATCAGCTGATTTCATTTTCTGTTGGAGCGGTATGATTTCGGGCAGAGACGTACTTCTCGTCAACTGGAGAGTGAGTACTTTTTCCTTTATTTTTTTTACTTGGTCGCCCTCGTTTCACTACACATTACCTTTGTTATTTCAAGGGTATTTGTTTATGAAAAGGAAAGCCCCAACTTTGCGGACACCCTGTATAAAGATCTTTTGTTCACAAACAGAATGTAGATAACCTACCTCTAGACGGATTTATACAGGGGGTCCAACACTTTTGATGATGCGTGTAATTCCCTTTGTTTTGTATTTAAATAAGCTTTTTCTAAGGTTGGACCAAGTTTTTTTACCGTAAAAGTAAAATGTAGTTCAGTCTAAAATCCCTCAAACTCTTTTGGTCATTTCTACTTGGGAGCCCACGATGCTAAATGGGGAGTCACTCAAAAAGATCTGACTTAGCTTATTTGTATATGATAGAGGTGCTCAAGAAGGGTACAAAGTATCCCCCATATGTTAATCTGCCGGGCTTGATTAAATTTCAAAATCCCCTCTTGGGCTCCCCTACTATTAGCTTACAAACTACCTATTTATATAAAAATAAATATGTACAAGTTGAATACATTCCGTCGGATAAATCGCAATCAGCAATGATAGTCTTCTAAGCTGCTTCTTTAATCTCATTATTTTTATACTCGTTCGAGTCTACCTTCCATAAACATGGATGTTTTCTTACACTTTCAATAAAATACTCCATTTAGTCTATTGCGAATTCCGAAGTGACGGGTGACGCGACGCAAGGGGAAGATAGATATAGCGCGATATAGGGCAGAATATCGCTCGGTAAGCATATCCCGACAGATACGTAATATATCACTGGGGTATAAATAGATATATTATAGCGTCCGTGCGTGGCGGCTCGATACGTTTACACATGGAGCGATATTTCTGTAATATGCAGGATATAATATATATTATATTATCGCTCACCGTCCGTTGCCAGCTTTATTGTCTGTCTCCTGTCACAAGGAGTAGATAGTATTGTCGAAGACTTCTATAGCTATGATCCCTACAGTCAATTCACCATTGAAAAAGAGGATAAAAATCAAACAGTCCCATTTTTGCACTCCAGAATCATTCGATACAATAACAACATCTTGTTGGTAGACTGATACATGAATCCAATATCCTCAGGAAGGTTTCGGAATTTCAGGTCTTACCATAACATAAAAATAAAGGTGAATTTGGTGGAAAAATGAAAACAAGGGTAATTGGCATCTCTGACAATACCTTCCACACCTCGAATCTAAGAAAACTCTCAACACTTTTCATGAACAACGATTATCCAAGGTAATTGATTAACAGAATCTTGTTCAGCTCTCCTTCTAGTATTTTGCCAAATCCAAACAATGAAAATAATAATTCTGCCTCTCCCAACAACATCACAAACAATCCTCACAATAATAATAATTCCATTACACCATCAAATCCCAGAATTAGTTTTGTAACATTGCCATACATTCAAGTTTAACTCAAAAACTGGCCAGACTCTGTAGTACTCTAAATTGTCGTATTGCCTATAAATCTGTTCTTAAGTTGAAAGATAAGAGTTCCGATACTTGGCTTAACTAACAGTCTACTTCATCAATGGTAATGGTTGCAATTTGATATACACAGATCTCTAGATCACTAGAGGGCAGAATAACATCCCACAGGAGTGACTCCTGATTGCATACAAAAAGATGTGCTTTGGCGTCACACGTAAACACCACAGAGCACTCGATGTGCTATAATAGTATTAAAGTCCTTGATAGAGAAGTAAATTTCTCTAAACGTTTGTGGTTAGATATGTCACACATTTTCATGACTGACAGTTGTATGAACAAAAAGGCCGATGTCAAGCAACTTCTCTAACCCAAGGAATATGCACATATGCAACCACACAAGTGGATATACATACATGCCCATACATCCGGATACAGGTGTAACCTGAGGAAACGAAGATGGAACATGGAAAAAATGACACACGATCTCCCCAACAAGGGCCAACCTACACATTGTAGTATAAAATAGCTAGAAGACCTCGAATATAGAAACTTGCGACGGTACTTGAAGCCCAAAGGATCTACAAAGAGAAAATGATCATGCGGAGAAAGGTATATAATAAAAAATAGGGAAATAAAGTGGATTCGAGCAGAAAATAGGATAGGTAACCCGAGCAATACGTATTTCTGCTTATTGGCTTTATCGGACCCGAAATGAATGCACATATGCAACCACAAAAGTAGATACACATGCCTATACATCCGGATAAGGGTGTAACCCGAGGAAACGAAAATGGAGAGGGGAAAAAATGACACACGAAGTCCCCAACAGGACATGGTTTTTCGTGAAGTGTAAAAGTCAAGTATTGAATTGAGATTTGTTCCCTAACGAAAATTTTTATTTGTCTGTGAAAAAACAGAGAAAACATCAAATATGGAGTGTCATCTTTCTAAGTATCACAGAGACGAGTATACCAAAATGAAGTCATTCAGCTATTCAGGATTCAGGTAAAACGGATGACTGAAGATTGCTGTTAAGTTTTATTATTCACGTAGTAAAATAAGGGTTACTTCAATATATTTAAAGTATATTTTTGTATGTTTTGTTTTTTTTTCAATTTAATAGTATTAAACGTTTATTGGTCCGTCTATATTTCCATAATATGGGTATCCATATCGGCCAAATCATTTTTCGAAAAAATAGGCCGATCTCGTCGGTTCGACCAGTCCCTATTTGAAATATAACTTGATCGAGAATGTGCTTAGATATGGCACAATAAACTCTTATCCACTTGAAGTCGGGGATTTTTCAAACTAAGATCTGCTATTCTGGTTGCAATCTTTTCTTATATTTAGCATTGAAAATATTCTTATTCTAATTATTCAATAAAAAATCTTACCAGCTAGGCGACACGGCGGCATCTGATCCAAAGAGGTACTTGAAGAAGCAATAGGCATCCAATGATCTCCAGCATTTGGATTCAAAAATTCAGCACCCGAATAATATTCATACATCTCATCAATTTCTTCTATGTCAGGATACAGTGTAAACGCGAATGACAAGTCAGGTGGGACCGCTTGTAGCACGTCACTGTCCTCATCAGAATTATGTCGAGGTAGTGTCTCAGTCTCTGTGTCAGATTCATCTAGCAGTCTTGAGATCTGTTGGAGATCAGGAGATTCAGCAAAAAGGTTTGGGATTACATCTTCTTCCAGGCTTTCTATGTTGAACTGCTCTGACTCTGAGGTTGACCTTCTGTAAGAATTTACTTTGATTACAATCAATAGTAGCAATTTATGAAAATTAATAACAAAGTTGTTATTAATGTCTTTTAGGTGAGTTTGTCACTACAACTTTTTTGTTCAATGATTTCCTTGTATACCTTGAAAGATAAACCAATAACTAATATTTTTTTTATTTGAGGATTAGATTGAGTACTCAGATAGCTTGCTAAACTCAATTTTTTGAGAAACGATGATGTTAAGTCCAGTATTAAATCATGTGAGTCAAAAATTAATATATTTTCATGATAATCAATGCTATTATAAATATATATATAAATAAATTACTTGAAATATAAGAACAAACATTTCTGACTGTTAAATAATATTCCCGGCCCAAGATTTTCAAATTTTATTAGAAATACAATCTGATCTCTGAACAGCAATACGGATTTCAAGAAGCAAAATCAACTCAAGATGCACTTATTTAGTGAAAACCAAAAATTTACAAGTTGATTCAGAGTAATAAACCAACAGCATGAATTTTTGTAGACTTAGCCAAAGCATTCGATAGCATTATACAGGTACATGTTAAACTATTAAATACATTATAACCACTTATCAAATCATGTTAGTTGGAAGGCTGAATACAATGTATGAACATTAAGTAACAGTACTCTAAGTGATGATACAGCTGATTTATGCAGACTTCCACAAAGAACTGTATTAGGGCCAATAGGTTAATTACCTTTTTAGGTTAAACACTGATGGAGAAATTATTGCTTTTGCAAACTGCACAGCCATTATTTATTTGTACACAAATTGGCTTTCTATAAAAAGCAAAATTGTAATGGATTTTCAAAAGATTACATATTTTTTTCACAGAACGGATTTTGTCTTATATGCTTGTTATCAGTATATTAATAAACACTCCTTGTTTTAATTATTATTTGAGTTGATTCTTAATACGTACATGCACCAGTGACGTCTAGATTTTAAGAGGACGAGATACCTCATGCGGCGCTTCAACAAACTATCTAAAGCAGCTCACACACTAAGTTAAGACTGTATGAGACATCTCCCCCTTTTTACAATACAGTGGACCTCCGGTAATCCGACAAACATTATGCAGGGCAGTGTCGGACTATCGAATTTATCGGATTATAGAGCACTGCCTAAGACCCCCTATAGTCCGGAATTTTTTACAAAAGAGTACCTTGTAATCCGACAAATTACATATACAATGGTAAGATTATATGTATATGTTATGTATATGTATGTACTTTGAAGTACAAATCATACAACATAAATTAAGCATAAATGCACATACATATGTACCAAAATAATCAAGAATTATTAATCAAAATCATTAATGAATTTATCAAATTATGAAGCTTGGAAATATTCATCATTTTTTTTTGTTTCAGGTTGTTATAACGCGAGATCAGAGCTTTGTCCCTCAGTCTTCTCACAAGTAAAAGTTCGTTGTAGGATCAACCATTCTCTTCAGCCCATTGTAAACCTAGCTCAAAGGCGTAAATTGCGTCTTGTGCTGTGACTTGTGGAGCAGTTGCAATCACGTCGTCGTTATTTTCCTGATTATTTGTTGTATAATTAGAAACGTCTTTTATAATCTCTTCGTCAGACATTTCATGAAAAACATTTTCCTCTTTATCCATTCCACGGCACCAGATTTTCAAATCTTCCGGACTTATCTGTGTTTCAGTAGCGACTTGTTCTATAACTTCCGAAGTTACACTGATTTGTGGAACGTTGTTAGGAGTGGTGACTATATCTGGCCATAACTTTTTCCAAGTCGATTTAATAGTTGATGACGGTAACGCATTCCACGACTGGCAAAGAGCAAAAACCAAGTCTTTCATATTAAATTCTTTTAAAGTTTTTTCTATTGGTTGGTCTTTTGATACGGCTCTCAGAAGTAGGTTTTTCTTATAGTCTTGCTTGACAAACGGAATGATATTCTGATCCATTGTTTGAATCAGTGCAGTGCAATTTGGCGAAAGAAACATCGCAGTGATGCATTTATCCTCAGTTGTTAGTTCTTCTTCAGACGGATGACCGGGAGCGTTATCAAAAAGCAACAACGCTTTTAGAGGAAAATTATGATCTTTTAAACATTTTCTAACTTCAGGTACGAAGCATCCATCAAACCACTTTTTGAAAAGGTCTTTTGTCATCCATGCACTTTTTTGTCCGTAATAGTGTACAGGTAAATCAATGTTTTTGAATGCCCGTGGTTTATTAGATTTCCCAATGACCATCATCTTCAGCGCGTGTGTGCCCGCAGCGTTAGCACATGGTAGTATGGTTACACGCTCTTTACTTACTTTTCGTCCAGGTACGGATTTATTCGTTACAAGAAACGAAAGTTTTGTTAGGCATCACACGTCAAAAAAGCCCTGATTCGTCTGCATTGTACACCTGTGACGGGTCAAGATTTAAATCGTTCACCTTTTGCAAAAATCTTAATTTAAAGGGCTCTATGCAGGTGGCATCGTTAGAAAGTTTCTCTCCTGTAATAGTCATTAAACGTATGCCATGAGGACTTTTAAAACGTTCTAGCCATCCTTTGCTGGCCACAAAATCATCTTTTTTTATTTCCTTATAAAAAACTTAGCTTTCATGGCCAACATGGGTCCTGAAATTGATGCATGCCTATTTCTTTCCTGAAGAAACCACATGTACAAAGCTTCTTCCACTTCTGGATGTTCAGCTTTCAAGAGTGTCTGTCTCTTGCCTAGCCCGCAGTCAGTAGTTGACACGAACTTCTTGATCTTCTCGTGGTTTCTTTTAATGTCATAAATTGTAGATCGGCCTACGCCGTATTCACTTGCTAAACTAATGAAAGTTTCATTGCGATTTATGCGGTCTAAAATATCACATTCTTCTTTAATTGTCAATGTTTTGTGCTTTCGCTTCTGAGTTTGTGATGACATTAATAGGTACTATACTTAATACACAATGAATAAATAGTAAACAATGAACGCACCATTGGGCCGTACCGCTATCACAAGTAGTCAAATTCACACTAAGTAAAACAATGCTTACGCGTCGAGCACGTTAGCGGTCGCGCGTACAAGATGTAATCTGTTCAAACCTGCGTGATCTACATTAGCGAAGATTGTCAAATACGTATGTATGTAATACATATTCAAAGACATGTCGGATTACATTAGATTGTATTGCTTTTTTATATTTTGATGTATGAAAATTAAAATATTACTTCACATTGGATACTTAAATTAATATCTATATCTGGCCGGTTTTCTCACATCAAATTATTGTTGTTGACATAGGGTTTATTGTCACAGTTCTGGTTACTAGATACAATCGAGGTTGAAACAGTTGTTGGCTCATTACAGTCATTGAATTCGAAATCATTACTTCGTGACTCTGTTCCTCTTGAGGAGCAAGGTACAGACCAAATATTATCAAATTCATCTTGAGATTGTACTGGAGGACACTCGTTAGGAGAATATCTTAAAAATTAAGAGTTCCTTCTTAAAACTCTTAAAAGGTTGTCACGCACCTTGTAAGATCCAGGGCTATCACATTTACCTACTATCTCCCCTGGTACCCGGTATTTTTCTCGATCTGACCTGATTATAACACTGTCTCCTTCCTTGAAGTCTGACCTATATTTTGGGGTTTGTCATAATGAATTTTGTTTTTAAATCTTTTTTCAGAAAGTCGCTGACTATCATTCTTTAGAGTTGGTTCTAAGTGCTTATTTGATACAGGCAAGACACTACGCAGTTGTCTGTTATAAATCATTTCTGCTGGAGATATATTGGACCCTGCCAACGGGGTATTTCTATATTCTAACAACGCTATAGAAATGTTTCTCATTCTTGATTTTTTCTTAAAATGTTCTTGCATATACCTACTGTCCTTTCTGTAAGACCATTCGACTTAGAGTAATGAGGACTAGATGTTTGTATTTCAAACTCCCAGCATCTGGCGAAATTATGGAACTCTGCACCGTTCATATTATCAGCAATTAAAATTAAAGGTGTTCCAAAATTAGCAAATATTTGTTTTAGCTGATCGATTACCGCCCTAAAATTTTTTAATTCTACCCAATTAGAGTAATAATCTACCAGTACTAAATAATCTCTTCCTCCAAAAGTTAATGTGTCACATCCTACTTTGCTGAAAGGACGATTAGGCCTGTCATGCTGAATTAAAGGTTCTTTTACTGGCTTGTGCGAATACTTCAGACAAGTATCACCATTTAGAAATACGCTCCTCAATATCTGACGGCAATAAAAAAATTTTCCTGCTCTAGCTTTTGTTTTTTCCATTCCCAAGTGTGCAATGTGTAACTTAGAAAGCATAAGATTTTGTAAACTCTTGGGAACCACTAGTTTGTCATTATAGAAAACCAAATTATCCTTTAAGTACAAATCATTTTGAATCTTACAAAATTTACTCAATTCTGGGCATACATTTTTTGAGTTTTGTGGCCAACCATTACACAAAAAATTCTTTACATAACATAGAATCTGATCATTTTTAGTTGCAGTTTGTAATTCTCTTAATCTTTCTTCTGAAATTGGCAGCTCTATGTCAACAGTATGAACTGTTACTAACATGTCTGGATCATTTTTGCTTTCTGTTTTTAAAAATGAACGTGAGAGTAGATCTGCTATATACATATGCTTACCTGGTAAGTATTGCACTTCAAAATCATAGTTTAACTATTTCAATTTTAAACTTTGCAATCTATTAAAATGATCACTTTTTATTAGTATTTTGCTACCATATACAAAATTATGGAACTTTGACAATGCAAAGCATATAGCCAGAAGTTCTTTGTCTATTTGAGGGTACCTAGTCTCAGTTTCTGTTAAGCTTCGTGAGCAAAATGCTACTGGCTGTCCCTGTTGTAAAAGGCAACCACCAATACCAAACTGACTAGCATCACTTTGTATTTCAATTGGTAGATTTGAATCAAATATGTTCAAATTTGGAAGTCTCGTTATTAGATTCTTTATGTTAGCCAAGGTTCTGCAGAGCTCCAAAGTCCACAACCAAGGCACATTACTTTTAGTCAATTTCCTGAGAGGTGACATAAGTTGAGACGAGCTAGGGATATACTTCAAATAGTTAATCATGCCAGTAATGCTTAATAACTCTTTTCTATTAGTGGGATCCGTTATTACCAAGATTGGATCAGGTTTCACACCATCTTTTGAAAAAACTTGATCCACATACTTTACATCCGAAACTTTACACTGTATTTTACTTTCATTAAATTTCAATCCAAATTTCTTAGCTCTCTGTATCTTTATTTAATACAAGGTCATGTTTTTCCTCATCTGATGCAGAAATTATTAGGTCATCAGAATAAATTCCAATCTCTAAATCGCCAAAAATCTTTTCATTTGTTCTTTGAAAACTTGAGGACTTATATTTAGACCAAATGGTAACCTTTTGAAACAAAATTTTCCAAAAGGCGTGATAAAAGCAGTATATTTCATGCTTTTCTTGTCTAGTGGTACACGATAAAAGCCTTCTTTTAGGTCCAATACCGTAAAGATCGACTTACCTTGCAACTTTAAAGACAACTCCTCTGCTGTGGGTATAGGAAACTGTTCAGTACAAATGTTTTTATCCAAATGCATTGGGTCTAGACAAATTCTGATACTTTTATTAGGTTTCTCCACAATCACTATATTGTTTACCCATTCTGTTGGTTTCTCTAACCTCTGTATGATGTCCATTCTTTCCAGATCCGCTAGCGTGCTTTTCAAAACAAGTTTAATAGTATCTGGTACTTTACGACAAGAACTTTTATATGGTTCATAACCATTTTTAAGCAAAATTTTATATTGAAATGGAACTTTTCCTGTAATCTGGAATTTCAGAGAATCAACTTTTTTTACAAGATTTCGTAAATTTGTCTTGAATACCTTCATAGAAGATCGACTGAATTTAGATAATTCAAGATCAATAAAAGCTCAAGCTCAAGTGCATACTTTTTTGTTTATGTTTATCGGATGCTACCTTTATTATTAATATGGAAACTTTGTAGATAGACCAATAAACATTGTAATTATTATTATTGATTAACATATTCCTCCAGAAGATACACAACTTAATTGAAAGTGTCTGACCACTGACCACCACCTTTAGGCATCAGCATTGTCCCATCTCTTACTGTTGCTGTAGGCTACAGGATATTCTACCTGTTGTTAAGAAACTTCAAAAATATGAAATCTTAGAAATAATTTCTAGAGATTGAGGGGTGATTGTTCCTTGAAAGATTGAACAAGTTAATCAATGCTATTATTACATGAAATATAACAAAAAGTGTAAATCCAATAAATACATATTATGGTTATTCTAACACCTGGAATTTATCGTGTAGTTTTCATGCTAATAATTCTTCATATTTTATGGGTGAAAAATGTAACCACATATGTAGGCAAGAGATTTTACTAATGTTTCAGCCACCTTGGTGACCTTTTTCAAAGATAAAAAAATGTCACTGACAATATATCATGTAACATTGTAACTGTAACTTTTCGATCTGTACTTGAGAAAAGGTCATTAAGGTGGTCGAAACATTTGTTAAAACTCAAGAATTATTAATAAATACGACTCTATATAAGTAAATTCAAAAAGCAAGTTTTCTTACCTTCTTAATATTTCTTCTAGAGTCTCTATCAGTGGCTCATGCATATCATGGTGATCCTTATATTTCTTTACCAGTTTTCTCCATATTGCCTCACATTCCTTAACTGTAAAAACAAAAAATCTATTATAATCACAAAGTTAGCCGTAATGACACCTAAATTTGTTTAGATTAATTTCTCTGTAATTAACATATCCATTAAGTATTCTATATTGCTTGCTGTTTGTGAGAACCAATTTGTACAAAACCACAAATGTGTTTGTTTGCAAAAATAAGCATGAATTTGAAGTCACCAAACACCATTATGACTATCCAACTAGGTCTAGGATGATTTTAATTCTGCTAAAACATCAAACTATGGCATACCAAAAAACATGTACATATATCGGATATTAGATTTCTAATAAGCTCAATGATGGCATTAGGAATGAGTCCAATATAGCTGCTTCCAAAAGAAAACTAAAATATTTGTTGGTAGACAAATGTTTCTGCAGCTTGGAAGAGTTTTTTGTTTAGATAGAAATGGATATAGATACATTATAGATTTTTATTAGGGATGTAATGGAAGTTATGATATCTAAACCGAAGTCAGTGTCGGAGGATTCAAATTTATTTTATTGAGATTGGAACCGGAATCACAATCAGAGGCGATGAGGAGAGATGATGAGAAAAAAAATTTGCTGACAAATTCAGTATCATCGACAGGTACCAATTTTTATTGCAGAAAAATCTATCTACAAAAGATGAAGTATTGTTATGTGTGACTTTGTCTTAACATGCCTTGAAAATAAAGATAAAACGTCTCTTTATAGATTTAAGCTCGCCGTCGATACTGCTCTTTTACTCAAAAAGCTTAATAACTACGGAGTCAGAGAATTGGTTAGAAAGTTATCTATCCGATATAGAACGAGTTGTCATTAATAATGGTAGATGTGAATTATCTTCTAGCACCAAGGTTTTTTTAGCTGGAGTTCCGCCAGAAATCATACTAGGGTCTCTATTGTTCTTGTTGTTCGTCAACGATGCGCCTATTTTCATGAAACAGCATTTTGTTACATTATTTGCTGACGATACCACAGTGGGGGTTAAAACTAAAGATCCAAATCAGCTCATTACGAGGTCCAGGTCACTAAATTCCTTGGTGTTATGATCGATTCAAGGCTTACTTGGAGAGATCATATTTACTGTTTAGTCAACAAAATATCAAAGCATTGCTTTGTGTTATGGAAACTAAGACAGTTTGCAAGTACTGCAGTGCTTAGAATGTACTATTTTGCTCACGTCCAGTCAGCCATTAATTACTGTATCATTTGCTGGGGTAGCAGCTCACATACATCAGATTTGCTACTTGTGCAGAAGAGAGTGAATCGTACAATAACTTTTAGTAACAAGCTCACTTCTTGTCGGGAACTGTTCAAAACTCTTCACATCATAAAGATATATTCACTTCATATTTTTAACTGTGTTTGTCATGTTCGAAAGAAAAATATAAGTTGCAAAGCAATGTGGAGAGTGGTTATAATCTAAGGAATACATACTGTCTGCGTACCCCTCAACATAGCCTTGCTTTATCAGCAAATGGTCCCCACATAATGCCTATCAGATTGTTCAACAGGTTGCCAATTGCTATCAAAGCTGTCACCAATTTCAATGCTTTCCAGCGCCAAGTTAAAAGTCTATCAGACTTGTGAATTGTATTATTGCAAACAATTAATTTTTAATCTGTTTCTCAATCTGTTCCTCCCTCTATTTTTGTTTAATTTGTTATTTATTCACATCTTTTTAATTTGTTTATGTTGTTATTTTGAGTACATTATGTTTGTATTATTTAATTTACTTAGTGTTGTCTTGATCACAGCTTTTTAGCTATTTTTTTTCTCATTCATCATTAACAATTTGCTGATACTTTTTCAAGTCAAATGGCAATAAAGATATTTATTTATTTCATTTATTTATATATTAATAGAAAGCAGGTTTAATAAAATAAAATTATCGATACTGTTAACAGTACCTTAGACTAAGTCAAGGATAGAGTGCATATTCTCGCTCAAACACTATGCTCACCAATCATTCAGATCAGTTGTGGAAATAAATGCTGTTATCGCTCGTACATTCTTTCATGAATATTTGTCATCGAATGTGATGTAAAAGAATAATTGTAAACGTTCATCAATAAATATGTTCCATTGGAAAATTGGTCTTACATCTTTGAATCAGCAGATTGGTCTAACATCTTCAGAAGGTGGGATCAAAGCAATTTTCGGAAATCTGTTCTGTCCACGACCCTGTGCTGTATGAAACGTAAGTAAATAAAAAGAAATTCATGTGTATTTATTTCATTGATTTTGTTTCGTCGACAAAAGAGTAAGTCTAACAACAATTTGGACATTATAAAATAATGCATCCGCAGGATAAACGGATTTTACATAGGGACATGCCAAATCTTAATATTCAGGTAATTAATCCTGTATGTTGAGTGTAAAATTTCATCTCTTTGTTGCTTTGTATGCCTTGATTGTATACTAAAATGAGAGGACTAATTTATGGAGGGTCAGCCAAGCTTAGACTAAGTCAAGGATAGAGTGTGTATTCTTTCTCATATACATATTATATGCTTACCAATCATTCTGATCAGTTGTTGTGGGAATAAATGCTGTTATCACTAGTTCGTTCTGTCATAAATATTTGTCATCAAATTTGATATAAAAGAATTCAATTGCAGCACAAAAAAATAAATAAATTTTCAAGTAATATATTAGTACATTAAGTGAAATGTGTGTAGGAGTTTATTAAATCAAATCAGCGACTCCAAAGGAAGCAAGTTATACTTAACACGTTGGCTGCTCACCAACAATTATATAGATGTCACTGGTGCGGCATTGTCAAATGCTTTTATTTGACATTTTTTAAGCATAAATTAGTTGAAACTACAATTAAAAATACTTTTTTCTTTAAATTTACAGAAAAAAAGACACGACGCACAGGTGGCGGCATGAGCACTGCGCACTATTTATTCTTGCTAGGTGCTCAATGACGCACATGTGTCGTCAATAATAACTATCCTTCAAACATCTTTATTTACTATATATTTTGCACAAAATATAAAAGCAAATAATAAATGACTATAATTAAAAAACAAAATCATACTTCCCTGAACATTCAAATAATAAAAAATATATTCTTTATATAACATAAATTATAAACAGCAAATTAAAAGAAAATAAAACAAACCTATATATAATTTTATTTTAGATTTTCGTGGAATTCCTTGAAACAAGGTTCTAGACATAGTCCTGGTAAATCTGGACACGATTTACAAAAGTACATGGCATCTTTGCGAACACCACGTTTTGAACAGCAGCGACACCTCTTCCGCTGTCTTCTATTATTTTCACTCCTTGCTTCACATTTTGATGGAAGATGTTGAGTTGATGGTTCCTTCCCACTGGTCTGGTTCTGAATTGCGCTATCTGGAATATCTGGAAGCAGTGCTTCTATGACTGACTCTCTATAATCTAACAATGACATCTTCTGCCCAGAATATTTGTTGTAAAGCATGTAAGAATTATGGAGCATCATCTCGCAAATATGTAGACCCACTTTTTTGTACCATCTAATTGTCTTTCTATGTGAGGGATAATAAGACTGCATCTGGTCTTGCAGGTCTATGCCAGACATATATTTGTTATATTGCACTACAGGAGTTGGTTTACTTTTTTTATTACCAGATCTAGAAGTCACTTCTTCAAATGTGTTTTCATGTTCTGTTGTGATATATAGCACCTCCCTTTTGTCTTTCCACTTACCCACACACACATTTGCCCCATAACGATAGATAGATTCACCTTTTTTCAGTTTTGATGTACTTACTTCCTTGAGGGTATCCTTTCTTCCAGCGCGCAACGTTCCCGTACAAAAGATCTTATTTTCCAGTAACTGACGTGCAAGCGATACAGAGTTATAGAAATTATCCATGTACACACTATATCCATTATTACAGTAATTATCCAACAGATTGAGAACAACATTTGCAGCGTGTCCTTTACCACCTAAATCGTCAAAAACACCACAATAAATCTGTATTTTTAAAATAGTTCCGTCACATTCGGTAAGTAGGTAAAACTTTATGCCATACTTGTGCTTTTTGTTTTTTATATATTGACGAAACAGAAGCCGCCCGCGCCAAAGAAGCATGGATTCGTCGATAGACAGGTTTTTTCCTGGCGAATAAATTATCGACATTTTCTTGTTGAAGAAATCCAGCAAAGGGCGAACCTTGTATAATCTATCACTTGGAGCTGCTCCCCCAGCTCGAGGGTTCTCGGCAAAATGAAGACATCGCAATATAATTAGATATCTGTCTCTGCTCATGAACTTCCTGATCCTAAAGTTGTATAAACGGTCGGTACGCCAATAGTCCCTAAATCTTGGTAGTTGGAGTATACCCATATAAAATGTCATTCCTAAAAATATTGACATTTCTTCTTTATTGACTGGTTTCCAACGGCTAATCCTGGAATGGGGCCCTTGACATTCATTCAGCAACACAATTTCTGCGTAACTATTAGTTTCTCGGACCAGTAGTTCAAAAAAATTATCGTCCACGAGGAGGAAAAAAAAATCGATGGGCCTCCTTCTATCAGGTACTGGTACATTCAATCGTTGCTGCCCAGTAAACATAATTTTTTTTAATTGCGGAGGGCCCTCTGTCCACATTTCGCTCAATGAAGGGACTTCCGCCTCATCATTTGAATGCCCGGAGTCGCTTTCCAAGGAGTTTACTGCCTCTTCGATTATATCTTCTGCACCACTCCATTCACTTCCGGAGTCTTCAAATGGTTCGTCGTCTAAGGAATCCTCAGAAAGATATGCCAATTGACGTAGTTCTTCGTCGTTTAGATTTCTAGGATCCCTAAACCTTAATCTTTTCGATACTGAAGGTCCCGGAATGGGATTGTCCGCCATTGCAAAATTAATGTACTAAATTCCGAACCACGTGTGAATTTTTAAGGTTAGAACACTAAGCAACATGCTCCTACTAAAGTAAAAGGCACACTGAGGCGCGCTTCGCTTATAACTATATTTAACTACAACAGGGACTACGCCGACAAGGTTGCGGCGTGAGCACTCGCATACATATTCTTATGCCGCCACGTTGTCGGCGTGAGCAGCGAACGTGTTAATGGATAAAAGCTTCCAAGCATCACTGATAGGAATATGTGTTTCTTCATTTTACTCATTAAATAAACTCATTATTAATGATACTATTATTATCAACATCATTGCTACACAACAATGTGTTTGTTGAATTGTTTGGATAACCTCTGATTTAAAGGTTTTGGTACTGAAATAGAAATTGGAAGTTCTGACTTTTCAGAACTGGAAATCAAACACCAGTAATATCTGGGATATATGGTTTTACTTGTACATATATATTTTCAAGTAAAGCTGGCTGATTTACAGATAGGAAAAATATGTAATATACCTGAAATATTTTTGAATTTTTTAGCAATGTTCTCCCAGGCAGCCTTCTTGAGGTACTTGTTCCTATACCCAGGGTGATTTCTGTCATACAGTACAGGATGTGTTTTAATACAGGTCAATAATTTCCTATCTCGCTTCACAATCGAGTCTACAAATCTTACAGATCTATGGTGAAGAATACCCATTTTCTAGAAAAAATAAAAATGGTTAAAATACAAATTACAATTCAAGAAAATATTCTAATCAGATAGAGGCACTTACTTTGGAAATAAAAAATCTATAAGCATTTTAACCCTAATCAATAATTCAACTTATTACCTTATAGTTTTTGAAAAAGGGACTTCTCACTAGTACTTGAAGTTTAGGTGAAGCAAGAAAACAAATTGCATCAGAAACTCTGTTAGTAAGAATTTGTTAAGCTACTAAAGTACACACGATTTTATTCACCAGTAACAACTATATCACTAATGATATAATCTGAAAATACATTTTGCACATAAGCACCCATATTTTCATTTGGTTTAATATCAGATGACCTGATTAAAAAATACAATGAAATTTAACATGCCCTAGAAGGAAACTGAATAGCTTGTATATACCATCATTGAAAATATTGAATATTATAGAAGATACCCAGATAGATAATGGATCAAATGAATATGAAGCCTATTTTTACCTGTCACATCAAAAGAAAATAATTGATGAGTATGAGTAATCTTACTACAATAGACATTTAAATAGCAAAGTAATCCACAGTACCTCTGAGCTACACTGAAAAACTTGAATGAACCTGCTAAGATCAGAGATGTTAAGATCGAGAGATCAATGACATTTGGCCTATTGAGCAAGTTTTACAGATTTTTTGGAATCTTCGAGTTCTCTAACCTTACTCTAACCTGTTTATACAGATTATTTTTTACATTTTTTAACAAATTTGTTCGACTAAACAATCGTTTTATAAAAACTGATAAAAACATACCATTTATTTCATATAACCTCACAAATTCATTGATAAGCTTACACAAAGAAAACACCTGTTGAATAAAAAAAATAGTACCTACTCATTTATTTAACCTGCACTACTGCGACCACAGTGGATTGCCTACTGACTAGAGTATTGTTGAGCAAAAATGACTAGTTTTCCATATAATGGACTAAAGATTTATCATAAATACTTTATGCCCTTTTTGTTTACCTTGTCTCACGGCTCTCATGCTGAAAAACTGAAAAATCTCATATTGTCAGGCTGTTACTGCTATACCTGTAAGTGCCTGTAATGTAAAATGTAACCAGTGTTACCAGATCTCCTGTTTTAACAGGAGATATACTGTTTTTACCTCGATGCTACTGTTCTTCTGTTTTCACTATAAAATCTCCTGTTATTACAATACGTTTTTTATGCTTCTCACCTGCCACTCCTAGAAAAAGGTGTCCGTTTTTGAATAGTGATTATTGACTGATCTGTTTGAAAGTCGAAGATGGACAGGTAATCAGTTTATTTTTCAATTTCTACTAGGTATTAGCTCATTTTCGATCGTTAATAAAATTAGTATTATACTTCGACTACTTAATTTGATTAATTAAAGTTAATTTTTTGGAAACGGAACAGCGAAATATGTTATCTACTTCTAAAATTGTAAGGCTTACAACATAGAAAATCCTTCTTGAGATAAAAAAACCAATCGTGCCATTCTTTTGATTCTGGAGGGCTGTTGAAGTTACATAATTTGGAGATGTACATATATGAAAAACTACGAACTGACTTATTTAGATTCAGAATGATTAGTATTTACCAGTTTTAGCGCCAAAGTTTATTTTTATTATTGTATGTTGCTATTTTCAATTGGAAAAATCCGTGTTTATTAGTTTTATCGCCACAGTTTATTTTTATTTTTATACGTGATATCTATTTACTTATAAGTATTTTATATTTAGTTTTCTTTGTGTTTATAAAGTTTTATGAAAGAATATTCATATTTATTAAAATCTACTGTTAGGATAGGTATATCTCCTGTTTATTTTTTTGTCCCGTCCTACTGTTGAGGGAAATATCCATCTGGCAACACTGAATGTAACACACCTGTAACTTTGGCCAGAGAGACGTGAGCCATGTCAGGTTGCCACATTTATTACCTATTGTTTCTATAGAGTGATGGAAATCTGGAGTAAATTATAAACTTTTTGGCAGATCTATGAGTTGACGTGTACATCTGTGTCTATATCATTTGTAAAATTTATTTCTGTTGATAATAATAATAAAAATAATAATAGCAATAATGATTATGACAGTACATACACAAAAATAGGCGAATTTTCAAATGAGACTCATACCTATTTAAGAACAATGCTTTTAGGTTTTCCCGAATATTTTTTTGTATAGAGTAACTGAGTTAAATGCAAAAGATCAGTTCCATCAACAAATGTCTGGAAGATAACATGTTAACTTCTATGATCTTACAAAAGCATTTGATTGTGTCCATCATTTTGACTCAAAAGTTGTCGCTATATGGTTTTAGTAATAACAGCCTGTCCTTAATTGCGTCTGATTTATCAGACAGAAGACAATATGTTAGTTTCCAAAAATTTTTCTCTAACAATGTACATATTAAGCACGGAGTTTCCCAAGGAAGTGCCTTAGGACCGATTCTTTTTTTAATTTACATCAATGATCTGCGAAACTGTAGCATCAATTAATATACTTTGAAGTTGAGTCATTAATTTTCAGATAATGATTGTAGAAGCGAGATAAACCAAAATATGTGCGTAAAAATAAAAAAAAATAAAAATGTTACCTTGTTTTATAAAGTATCCTCCCGACAAGTATTTCAGTGCGGACCTGTATTTGATCGTGCGGTCTTGGAGCACCGGCATGCTCTCCACTGATTCACGAGCCCTTTGTACTACATTAACAAAGGCACGAGGGGTTGGTTGCACTCGATTGGGAAACCGATTCGCACAAATATGTGATGCCGCGGCAGCATTTTGTAAAGACTCCCCCCCCCCGTAAATAAGAATCATGTCCACAAGTTCAGCATTTTCGTAAACATGTGCCATTTTTGATTTCGTTTGAGCCACGCAACAGACACCACTATTCACTCACGCGTTACCGACTGACACTGACTGTATACAACTGAATAAAATAATTGTAAAAACATCGTTCCAAATTCTATCGCTTTTTTGTTTCCGATGCGATGAACCGATAAGGCGGATTATATCCGTTGTTGCCAAACACGAGCACATAATATTATTATTGAGACAGGGCGGTACTCAAACTTCCAAAGGGCTATTACTTTGTTACTTTAATTTTACCAGAAAAATGGTAAAGGAAAAAACATTTCTTTTGATCAGATCTACTCACTGTTAAAATAAATGACTCAACTTCGAAGTCACCAGTATATTATTTGCGGATGACATGACATCAATGTCCTCCAATCATAACTTTGACCGTGTATTACTCGATTGTCAGCAGCATTTTGACAATAATCAAAACTGGTTTAATGCCAACAGTTTGTTAATCAACATAGCCAAAACTCAATCTCTTCTACTCAGTACTCGTCCACACAGAAGTAATTTAGTAGAACCCGTGAAATTACTGGGAGTGATTATTGATGCAAACTCAACTTGGGAATCACACATTACCTCTTTATCAAAGAAGTTATCTAAAATAACATATATGATACGTGTTTAAATACCTACGTAACAAAATCGACTTTAATGACAGGCTATTATGCTTACTTCTAATCTAACTTGCAATACTGCATACTGATTTGGGGTCATTCATGTCATGTATCGAATGCGTTTGCTGTTTAGAGACGATGCTTGAGAATAGTAGCAAACGTACATTTCAGACAGTATTGCAAGGACGACACTTATCGACCTAAGAATTTTAACTGTGTCATCCATATATATATGTATATATATTGGAATGTATGATTCACGTTAAAAATAATTATGCTGATTACAGAACTCCGAAAGAGACTCACAAATATAACACAAGGTTCAACAATGAATTACATAATACCAGAGTTTTTCTAAGGAAACATTTTTGGACCATAATCTATAAAGCAAAGTCACATCAATTTTTCATGTAGATTCACACCCTTAAATCTTCGCATATCATTAAGGAACACCCTGTATATATCCACTTTTTCTTATTCATTCTGGGAATTACAAATGCAAATTTGCTGAATTTCAAAAATTAAAGAGATAAGAAATAGTTATACCCACTCTAAACTGTCGAATTACAAGTCATATACGAGTACATGCTAACAGTAATGAGACATAACGCGGGAGCGGTGGTGACTTTCCGAAATTTTCCTCAAAGTTTTTGAAAACACAAAAAAACGTAAAAAATCTTAATTTATAACTTTGAACATAGCCTTCAGCCCTTAGAAAGGACAACATATAAATAACCCGTCGGGCACAGCTAATAGATATACTTCATTGGCATTAGCATATTCCAGTAATGATTTTCACACACAGCAAATATCACTGACTTTATACACATGCAGAATCATCCAGATGCAATCTTGCTACTCAACCAACTTTCTTCTCAGAGATGGAAACTATAGACTACACATCGGCTTCGCAAAACATATGGAACTAACAATGCGTCTAGTTGAGCTATTCCTCCATAGATGGACGCTCACTACGATCCTAGTGAGCAAACGTGGAATGACCCTAAAAACTCCCTAGTCTGCAAGATGACATTTTAAAAGTTTTTTTTACGTTTTATAGGTTTTTTACATAATACCCGTGCCGTTGTAGTAAATAAAAATAATAAAAAAAGAATATTAACTTTATATATTTGACAGGAAAATCATGAAGTCAAAGGCGCAAAAGCTATGAGAAATGCTTATTTTCAATGACAAATTTCATAACTGGTCTTTTTGACCGGTGATTGTATTCTTATTAGTTAATATTCTGATTGCGTTTTTGAAAGGATCCCTCATTCTCAAAATTAGTTCAGTTTTCCATGTAATTAAACGCACCAAAATTGTGCAATTTAGAGTAAACCGGCGCAGGTTAGTGTATTTTAGAAATGTTGATTTTTTAAATATATAAAGAGTCGTGCAACAGCTAAGCATGTTTTGGTCTTTTTGACCGGTGATTGTATTCTTATTAGTTAATATTCTGATTGCGTTTTTGAAAGGATCCCTCATTCTCAAAATTAGTTCAGTTTTCCATGTAATTAAACGCACCAAAGTTGTGCAATTTAGAGTAAACCGGCGCAGGTTAGTGTATTTTAGAAATGTTGATTTTTTAAATATATAAAGAGTCGTGCAACAGCTAAGCATGTTTTTCGCTGTAGAATGAACCAGCTGTAATATAAATAACCCCTCGGGCACAGCTAATAGATATACTTTATTGGTAGCATATTCAGCAATGATTTTCTCACACAGCAAATGTCGATGAATTTATACACATGCACACCAAACTCTTACCAACTTTCTTGTCATAGATGAAAACTACAGACTACTGGGCTTCACAAAACATATGGAACCAACAATGCGAGTAGAACATTGATAACTGAAACATCATTACGTTTAGGCAACACCGTACATCTACAAAACGAGTTCACAAGTGTCCATCAGCTAGTGCTAAATTAACATCTTGTAGAAAAACCTACGTTGTCACTAAAACGTACGTTATGCAAAAAAAACGACTTTTCAAGATAGGTAATACCTCTGCCGGTAGCAATTAGCAGAGTAGAGTGAGAGTGTCCGGGTGCTTGTCGAGAGATACCGTTAAGGTGCTCAGTATGGAGACGCCTATGGTGTCGGAGCCTGCTGGATATATAGACTATGCAACTGACACGAAAATACCAGAATGGATAAGAAAAAGTGGATGCGCAACTAATTTCTAACTTTGAATTTCAAGTAAGTGTATTGCACCTATCCTCCAGTAATCCCATTTCTGAAGCAGATTTTACATCACATCCGAGCAAAACATTGATAACTGAAGCTTCATGTCGTTTAGGCAACAAGTACAACTGCAAAACGAGTGCACAACGTGTTTATCAGCTAGTGCTAAGTTAACATCTTGTAGAAAAAATTGCATAATGTCACAAAAAACCAATATATAGTCAACGCCAAACAAAGTGGCGTGCACGTCATCACGATAAAAATTCCCCGACCTAATGCCTAGGTTTCTATCACAAACAATTGCTCTATTGCAGTTTCATATTAATGTGATATATAAATTGTAAAATGGTCAGTACTCTCTTATTATGGTTAATAGTCATATAAACATTGTTATTAAAATATCACATAAGTTGCTTTCTGATAAATTTAGACGCATTATGCGAAATAAAATGTTTTGCAAACGCTCCAATCACTTATCGACATGTAAACGCACTAAACCGATTTCGCAGCGTTGACACATTGTCACCTTGAAACTTATTTAAACTGGGAACTGACATTTGTATTAATTTTGACACTGAATCAATTTGTGGCATTTCAAATCTTTATAAATCCTTTGGCCCCGCATACTGTAAATCAACAACTGTTTGTTTCAAAACAAAATTATTCATTTTACGAGTAGATAAAGGCAATTTTGGTATATAAAGATGCCCAAACAGTTAAATAGTCGGTGTAAGGAACTCGTGGCCTCGTTAATGCACTACTTTGAGCAAGAAAGGGACAACAACGGGCCTTTGTTGCCTTTAAATGCTGTTCAAGAGGTAGGTTACTAATAATTATATGTAATGTATATTAATAATAGTGAAATTTTATTTCATTTTTTGTAGCGTGTTGCTGCTGCTTTAAAAATTAGTTTAAGGACAGTTAGTCGTATTTCCGAGGGTGTGAAAAGTGATGCAAATTTAGAATCGCCCAAGAAAAAGCGGAGTTATATTAAACGTGTAACCAACACAGCGACATTGGATACAAGTGCCATTCGAGAAGTGATCTATAATATGTATCACAAAAGTAAGATCTTATTATAATAACTTATCAGAAATTTGCATTAATTTGTTAACTAAATTATAATGTCATATTACACATGGTTTCAGAAGAACAAGTTACGATACAAACTTTATGGTCTCGATTAAGAGCATTATTTGATGGTAGTGCCACGTCTTTAAGGCGGTTGCTTAGAGATCTTGGATTTAAGTGGCTTAAGGACAATCCGCGACGAGGGCTCATGGAACTACCAAGTATAGCTTTGAAAAGGGTGGAATTTCTAAGGCAATACAATCAAGCCAAGGTTGAGGCCTTATACCAGTTTGTCTTCCTCGATGAAACTTGGATATTTCAAAATGGGACCATAGGTCGCTCTTGGCAAAATGGAAACCAAAAAAGCGTGAAAGCTATTAAAACAGATGGTAAAAGGTATGTACTTTTACACAATTTGCACTATAAAATTTAAAACTAATATATTTTAGATACATTATATTACATGCTAGAAATGAAAATGGGTTTATTGAGGGTAGTGAAGCGATATTTTCTTCGAAAACAAAATTGAGCGATTACCATGGAGAGATGAACCAGGACAATTTTTTGAAATGGTTTCAACATCAGTTATTAGAAAAATTGGAGAGTCCATCTATGATTATACTGGATAACGCCCCTTATCACAGCATGATATTGAACAAAGTGCCCAACAATGCATGGACAAAAAAAAATATCCAAGACTGGTTGACAAATCAAAACATACCATTTTTAAGCACAATGTTTAAAACAGAGCTATTGAGTATTGTTGCTCGGTACATAATGCTTCTTAATTATATATATTTTGGTCGACAGTTTATATTTCTTTTGTTTATTCCTATTCTTAAAATAACTGCTTTTTTAGAAACAAACCACCTAAAATATACGTGATTGATGAATTGGCGGAACAACATGGGCACAAAGTTCTTCGTCTGCCTCCTTACCATTGTATATTTAACCCTATTGAGTTAATTTGGGGCATAGCAAAAGGTTACTATAACAGACATATTGGTAGAGATGGTAACAGTGAAAAAGACTGTTTGGATATGTGGAACGAGGCTCTACAAACGGTTACCCCAGACATGTGGAAAAATAGTGTTCGACATACTGAGCAAGAAATTTTTAAATGGTATGAAAGAGAACGAATTTTTGATCGACCAGACATCGAACCTTTAATAATCAACTTTGAGAGTGATGAAGATTCAGATTCAGACAGCGCTGAAGAAAGAAACTCCGACTAACTTTATTGTACAGAAAAAGCTTACACCAGTAGCTTACCTAATTTTAGAATGCATTTTTCTGTATGAATTCTGTAAAATAAATACCATGCATAAAATTTGGAGGACCCCATTTGGATTTTTATTCAGTACCTTTAAGCTATCAATTAAATATGGTAGTTTCATAGTGTCATCTGATCAATAATTGTCATACTTAATGATTATGCAAGTACAGATCTATAATTTTATTATACTATTATTTTTGTTCTCATTTGAGGTTAATATTGCTTATAAACCTAGATATGTAAATAATAAATTTTATTATTTTACAAAAAGTTTGGCAACAATGTAAATTTTTCAACACACCCACCTTGATGACGTGCACGCCACTTTGTTTGGCGTTGACTATAGTAAAAATATTGACATAATGCCCTTTTCAATATACGTAATACCCGTGCGGGCCAATAATTCATATTACACCTGACTTATTTACTAGCTACACGTCGGTATTTCACTTGTTGCATTTTTTGATAATAGATTTGTTTGTTATTTTTCATATAATTTCGGGTTTGGTGGTTTGAAGACAATGTCAGTAAGGCAATTTCCAGTATGTAGTTGAATTAGCAGCTGTTGCAAGTGCTCTTGATGACGAAGTTTTAGAAACACAAATAAGAACTACAAGAAGGAGGTGGAGTGTGCACCCAGAATGGAGGAAACTGGAATGGATGGAGAATTTGCCATAAATGGCTCATATCATAAATTATGGGAATTGTAAACTACAGTTTATTGTCATCCATTTTGTGCAGCTTCTCTCGCAATAATTAGTAAACGTTTCATGTTAGGACGAAAAGTGACAGGGCCGGGCCGGAGACGGGAAATAAATTATATGTATCGACATTTGGCCGCCGTGCCCCAGCGGTGACACGACCGGTAGACGGAATACATGAATTGGTTTATATAAAACTATACAATAGGCGTTTGAACGTGGTACGGTCTGCTCCCGTCCCGGGCCCAACCCTGTGTAGCCTGAATCACCCTTAACGCTTTTTAATAGACTTGCCATGATGTCTTTGTAAGCCTTAATGATAAATAATATCAATATAACAGTTTCTAGAAATGTTTGCTATCCTGCTCAGGGAATCTTAATTTTTCATCAAACACTACTCCAAGGCTTGTAAAACAATCACTAAACATAAATTTGCTTTTTCAATGAAATGGTGAATATTTATTCTTTAGAAAATCATATTTCGTTTTTGGGCTGAAAAGCATAAATCTGTTTTTTTTCAGCATTAAGCTAGAATTAATTAGTGCACATGTATGGATTTTTATCAGTTTTACAAGTATATAATATAGGAAACAGTGAATTTTGATGAAGTAGTAAACGGATTTTTTTGTGTGCAAATCCATCGCTATTTGTCTACGCCATAAAATCAAATGTAGCTTGACAATTTTGGCTGATCTGGCACGGCGCTTTGCTCCTGAATTATTGGGAAGTCAAGATAGAGCGAATTTGCGGCACTGTAGTATCTTTTTTGTGGTATTTCTTAGGTGCTGGACGAATCTTTTAGCGCAGTTTGTCATTTCTACAATGATATATATCAGCTTTGAATAGTCGCATAAGATTTTCTTTTAAGTGAAATGTAATCAAATTGACTCATACTAATTTCACTTTAACCTCAACTATACAGAAAAGCAAATGTTTCAAGTCATTCATGATGTCATAATAAAAACAGCCAGGTTGAGAAGTAGTGGGCCTGGAGCTAAATCATCGAATATGACAACATTGTAAGGTATGCGCATTCTTCATCGACCTATACCCAAGGCCGTTGCTGTCAAATCAGAAATCATCCCTTAAAATCTGCGTTGGTGTTGTGATATGTTTTCTTATGCAAAAGGGTCCAAATTTAAACAAAAAAACATACTAAAAAGCATCGTGTTAATTTAATTCAGATTACAAACGATTAATTCAATCAAAGATAATTCAGTAGAAATGGCTTCAGATTCTAAAAATCAAATTATACAAAGGTCCAGTTCGGATGCCAAAAAACTGTCGATCAACCTTTTTTCAAAACAGAATGAGTGCTCATATGTGTCTTGTTATTGGTAAGTCGAATTTAGTTTGTTAGAAATGCGATTTACGGAATTTATTTATCATTACTTTATCATTAAGAGCAAGATCAATAACATACAGAGCAATGCTAAGGTCACTAGGTGTACCTTGTCTGCATTTCACTCAATACTCTTGCTCATCTTTCATCTTATCATCATTAATTTTCGTGTTTGGATCAAAACTAAGATTCCACGACCTGGCTTGTCGGGAGACATTGTAAAATTTCAGGGTAATAGGTCCAACTGTTCTGTCTGGAGACACACTCAAAGTTTGTAGGTTGGGAAAAATGTGAATGCTAGCATTTTGTCAGCTTTTTCATTTTCGTGCTCCTCTTCATGCTGGAAAGCATTAGGCCCCATAATATATAACTATTGAGAAGTACCATTGTGTGAAGGAACAAGGAATGAAAATTGCAGAGGGATTGTTTCTGAAGTGCTTGCACAACCAAATGTAAATTTGAAGAGGCTGTAGACATGCTAAAGTTCACTATAGTGAGCTGGAAAAAGCGGCAAAGCACTTGAAAACAGGTGAAGCACCAAGAGTAGATGAAATACCAAATGAGATCCTGCAAGTGCTGGTTAAGGAAATACCTAAAATCCTTCTTTCTGTCATGAATGAATGCTTGAGAATGAGAGTGTCTCTGATGTGGGGAAGGAGGTTGGTTTGTAACTCATCCCTAAACCTCTAAAACTCACTGTCTCAGAAGTCAAATATATAGACCTGTGTGTGTGCTGAGCACACTGGGACAGCTACTAGAGGGATAGAAGGTAGGCTAAGAGAACATGTTGAGGGAAAGAGTCATCTGCACAATATTGATTTTGAAAGGGTAAGTCTTCCACAAGGTAGCATCTTAGGACCTCTCTTCTTTTTAATTTTATGTGAACGACCTAAGTGCTACTGCTGGTATTACAAGCCCAAATAATGTATTCACGATCCAATATTCTGATCACTGTAGTGGTCTCTGGTCAAAATTTCAACCATGTAGCTGGAAGTACTTTGAGCCTCTGCAAGAAAGCGTTTTTGTGGTTGGCTCATGATGCATAATACCTCAAAGACAAAGGCAATTGTTTTTAGGCTAAGAAAAAAAATCGTAGCTATATACATCTCTTTAGCCGAAACAGTAGAAGTTCTGCTGACAGACTGCTGACTAAAGTTAAACAATGCATGCACTCTAGCTACTTAATTAGAGTTCTAATTAAGTAGCTTCACCTCAAGACACTAAAACTGGTATATTACGCGAATTTTGATTGATTGATTAGAGTTATAATTAAGTAGCTACACCTCAAGACACTAAAAAAGGTATATTACGCGAATTTTGAGGCATTGCACATTTTGGCATAGTAGCCATACCAATAGGATCTTTCTAGTGCAGAAGCAAGTGCTGAGGTGCATCCTAAACATTTCCTCTAGAGAGACTTGCAGAGAAAAATTCAGGAGCAATAAAATTTTAACTGTACCCAGACAACTTTCTTGGTGGCCCACAAAGTGATTATAAACAAGAAATGGAAATATAAATCTTCTGTATCTAATCCATCTTTTCACGGTTATAGAAAAAATGTCCATTACAGCTGCACTAAAATATTTAATAAATTACCACAAGAAATTAAAAGGTTGTCGGATATAAAACAAAATAAAAAGAGACGAAAAACGCACAAAATTAACGTATTTCGTAAGGAAGAAGGGTCATCCTATCCTTCTGTATCTGTATCAGTCTTTCTCAAAATGGGCGATAACGCCCTATGGACGCTAGAGACTTACAGATGGGGCAGTAGGGAGTCCAGTGAGTATTGGGGGGCGAAGATTTGACTTGGGGGCCAATTTGTGTCTTTGTAAATACTTAAGGCGAAAGTTGAAATTTACATACTCTGATACATTGAGAGCACTTGACAAAAGGTTGAGAACCTGTGCTCTATATGAATTGAATTTTGTATTCAGTCTTTTAACTTAGTCAAATAGGCACTTACATACAATGTATGACATTTGTGAACCAAAATTGGCAGTTTTCATGATACTGTAGAGCGGGTCATGTTTCATATCAGGCTCATTTTTTTTCTGGAGAGAACCTATAAGACTTTGTAAAATCTCAAATCCTCAAGTCGATCGGTCCGCTCAGGAGACGCATTCAAAAATTGAAATTTAACCTTTTTGACTAAATTTCTATTTTACTCGCTACTCCTCTAATTGGAAATCATTAGACACTACAACACGTGACTAGTCCAAAGTAAGATTGTCAGGAGAAATCAAAAATGACTTCTAAAATTAGATCTGAAAATTAATTCAGCAGACATATAGGTCAAAGGATTTTTTTTTTAAATTCTTTTTCGTTGTTTTATTGGACTAAAAATTCGAATTCCCTCTGAAACAAAAAGTCCTCCAGATTGCTAATAATAAATGATACTTATAAAAAAGAAAAAAACTGTTGCTCAAAGAAGGATCAGTTTCTCAGTCTACTTGGGTTTGATTTTGTTATCGGATCTCAAAATTAGTCGAAGCGACCTATAAAGCCAACTTTAAGTATTCTGGCCCAAAATTTGCCGTTTTCATCATAGGTACTCGAAGAAGTATAGATGTTATTGGAGATTGATCTAATTATAAAGGTTAGCTACAGTTAGTTACAGATACATCAATCCATTGCTTAACGTCTGTTGGCAACATCTGCTTTTAAGATATAATCGCAAAAACTAATAATCTCAAAAATGGTAGGAGCTACAATGTTGGTTAAATGAGGAAAATGTTGCGTAATATAGAAGAAGTATAAATTTGCTAATTTTCGAAATTATATTTTTCTCAAATAATTCGAATATTGATAGATGATAGCCAGATTCTGTAAAGTGCATATGGGAGGTACTTGTGTTACGCAACGTTTTTCTTATTAATCCCATATTGTAGCTTTAACCATTTTTGAGATAAAGCTCTTCAAGCCACAATAGTGTTTCTCACCTGTATACCGAACTATTGTTTTTCGAAAACGAAACAGACGCATTTACTGGCAGGTAAGTTTTTTTTTGGAAAAACGCTCAGACCCGTCGATTTTGTTTTCGAGGAGGACACAAGTTTGGCAAAAAATCACGTTAGCACGTGCAGCCCCCTAAGCGGGGGTGACACCACCCCCAAAATCTTAAATGGAAAGGGGGGTCGAGTGATACCTTATTTTAAAGGTCTTTCAATTTCCTTTATAATGATATAAAATTAATGTACTTCAGTTCAGTAGTTTTGAAGATTTATTGATTTAAAGCTTAAATAAAACTAATACATCACCATTAGTGGAGATCAATACATTTGGCAGCAAAGTAATTTAAAAATGAAGAATGAACTGACCCGTTAGGCAAGTAAATGTTGAAAAAGGCCACTATGACTCCATGCAATAATAAAGATTTTGCTCAAAAGGTTGCCGCACATTTTGCAATATTTGAGGAGTAATTTGAAGGCACTCATTCACAATTCTTTGTCGCAGGTCTTCTAATGATGTTGGCTGAATAGCATAGATTTTGCTTTTTAAATGACCCCACATAAATAAATCCAAAGGTGATAAATCTGGCGATCTTGGGGGCCATTCAATGGCACCTCTTCTACCAATCCATCGATCTGGAAACGTCTGATCTAAATATTGTCGAACACGTAATGCGTAATGTGGTGGGGCACCATCCTTTGGAACATCAACCTATTCGCAATGTACCGCCGATCATTCTGATTTTCAATTATGGCGTCTTCCAGTAATTCCAAATACATTTCACCGGTCAAATTTCCAGGTAAGAAAAAATGACCAACTAAATGATGGCCAAAAATACCAGCCCAAACATTTAATTCTTGTGACTGCTGTGTATGAACCTCATGATAAATTCTGGGATTAGAATCGGACCAATATCGGCAAATATGACGATTTACTACGCCATTTAAGAAAAAGGAACATTTCGTCGGAAAAGCAAGTTTTGAATAGAAAATGTTCATCGTTTATAATTCGTTCACTCATATCTTCACAAAATTGTAATCGCCGATCAAAATCGTCTTCATTAAGTTCTTGTACCAGGTGAATTTTATACGGATGAAAACTATGGGCCTTTAGAGTCCGTTGGACAGTACATCGACTAACACCACACACAGTCTCCAATTTGCGGGTACTTAACGTAGTATCTACATAAACTTGCACTAAAAACCCCACTTCTATTGCTTCGTTCCTTATGGGATGTTCAATGTTGCGTTTTTTATTGACGACTGACCCAGTTTCCCGAAATTTAGCTACAATTTCTAGAACATATTTTCGATGTACGTTACTGTTCTCATGTCGCTCATTAAATATTTCTGCTGTTCTATTAGCGCACTGATTATTTCCGAAAAATATTTCGATAATTTCAACTCTTTCTGCTGTGGAATATACCATGGTTAATTTATGTAATAAATCGTTAGAAGTTATTTTAGCAACAAAGTTTGGTCAAATGCATTGCAAATTCCTATTTAAAATAAGTACGAGATATTTCCTTATCTTTCTTCAAGAAATAACTTTTTTGTCACAAAAAACGCTCCAATAGCTATTTTCAACAACAGAATGATAAACAAACCATGGGCGTAGTGAAGAAAAGCATTTACTTATTAAGTAAATTCTTTTAGTCAAATTTCTTCTGAAAGTAGTACAAACTAATCTGATGTACCTATTAAAGTCTACTTTAGGCTTTAAATCAATAAATTGTGTCTCCCTCGAAAACAAAAAAGACGGGTCTAAGCGTTTTTTAAAAAAAACTGAGCTGCTATATGTAGATTGATCCGCTCCTTCATGAAAAACAGTTTTGAGGACTTTTTGTTTAGGAAGGAATTGGAATTGTCAGTCCACTAAAACATTGAAAAACTTCAAAAAATCACTTTTGACAGAAATATCTGTCGAATGATTTATGAGATCGCAATCTGAAGGCCATTTTTCGATTCTCCTAACAATTTTACTTCGATCTAGTCACATATTGCTGGACCTAATGCTATTCAATAACCTGGAGTACTGAGAAAA